AACTTTAGACCCTAAACCCCAAACTCCAAAGCTTGAGCTAGACCCTAAACCCCAAAACCCCACAACCACACCACAGGGGGAAGAGGGGGGGAAGATGGACCCGCACCCCACCCACAGGAGGGAGGGGGTTCCCGGACCATGTACCATTGGGGGGGGAGCCGTGGAGCGCCTGACCATATATACATATGTGTGTATATGCATGTATGTGTGTGTGTATATATATATATATAATTACTTGTACATATGTTTTATATGTACATATCTATGCATATGTATGTATATGATCATTTCTCATGTAACATGGATGCAGATATTATGGTTTGGGCTTCGGGGTCCAATTCTGCCTGTCCCAGGCAGACCTGCTGCGCACGCCAGGCCGTCTGGTCCCTATTGCCGATCATGACCAGTCGCGCTTCTCGGCGTGGGGAGCTTTGAGGAGAGGGCTCTTGGGGGTGTCTAGGGTTCAGGGTTTAGGCTTGAGGATTTAGGGCGTAGAGCTTAAAATTCAGGGTTTTGGGTTTAGGACTTAAGGCTTAAGTGTTCAAGTTTCTCGTGAGGCAGGGCTAAGTGAAACTCATCTAGAACCCAGCCCCAGCCCTTTAGACTTCGCCACTCGAACCCTAAACCTTCGGAACCACAAACCCAGACACCCAAGCTTAACAACCAACCCTACACCCCACACCACTATTCTAAGCTCAACCCTACACCCGTCAACCCTGTACCCACGCTTCCTCGAACAAACTTTAAGCCCTTCAATCGGGAATATGTCGAAATGAGGACAAAAAGGATCCCAAGAAGACAAGGGTTTTGAGGTCCCCCCTAAACGCCAAACCCTCAACCCCTTAGACTCTGAAACCCTAAACCCCAAAACCCTGAAACCCTAAACCCAAAACCCTGAAACCCTAAAACCCTGAAACCCCTAAACCCTAAACCCTGAACGCCCCAACCCCTTGAAAGTCCAAGGGACCATCCTGTGCGCGAAGGACATCCTCCTGCCCCTGGAGCCCGGCCATGAGACCCTCCAAGTCCTCCTCGAAGGAAGCCTTCACGACCTGAGTTTCGGATCCAAAACCCCAAACCCCAAACCCTAAACCCTAAACCCTAAATCCCAAACCCTGAACCCTAAACCCTAAACCCCTAAACCCTAAAATTAGGATCTAGGGTTTGAGGCCTTAGGGGGTTTGAGGTTCAAGGGTCTGTAGTTTCAGGGTTTGGGGTTTAAGGTTTACCACAAGCCCTAAACTAAGCCTAAACTTCCCTGTAGGCTTCCATAGGGTTGCAAGAGGGTGCTGAGGGGTGATGATTCTTGGTGCCCTGGGTTCAACCATCGGCTAGGGCCGGCTAGGGGTGCTCAGCTGAAATCCCACCTTCTGCCCGAGGTAGTCGTATCTCTCCGTGTAGAAAGCCAGGTACACCTCCGGCTCTGCGCTGCTTAGCGTGCCATGTTGCCCCTTCTACAGGGGCCTTTTCGGGTTTAGGGTTTAGGGTTTAGGGCTTAAAATAGTATCAAGGCCCCTATTTTAGCTGAAGCCCGAAGCCCTACTGTAAATAATCGATTTCATTTCACAACAGGGCCTCCTTCGCTGTCTTACCACTCAGGGCAGCCTCCCACACAACACTCAGCTGCCGCCGCACGAGAGCTTTCAGTCTCATGGCACAAGCCGTCAGCTGGTCCACCTGATATACCTCGGGCTCGCCAGCCTACCTTCGGGATATCTTCCTTTGCTTTCTGACTCTTTGCTTGTGTGCTGCTTGCTTCTCGGAGCTTCTAAGTCTTGTCGGTTGTCTTTGGAGGTTCTCTGATCTCACAACGAAAAGGCGAGGCGCCCCTCTTCGCTTCTGCACAAAAGCCTCGTGTTCAGCGGCGATGCCGAGCCCAGCTTCCCTATCCACTTCGTGGGAAGCTGGGCTCCACCGCAGCGAAGAATACCGGAAATCTCCTGGACCCCCGATTCCCAGTAAATAGGGTGTTACAGGGCACAGAGCCAAGGCTTCAAGAAGCATTCCCACTTTGACCAAGTCTCCGTGGTTAGACAGGGCTGCCGCGAAGGTAATCAACACGTAAATGAGCCTTGGTCCATTCTTGCGACCGTCTCCCTGCTATGCAACTATTCGTAACACAAAATGACCGTGACCTTCTGAAAGACCGAGGGGCATGATGCTCCAGGTCGGCTCCAGCATACTTCCCGGGGGGCACACATTGGCATCACCAGCCCAGTCCCCATAGCCAAGGCATGTGACCCAACCTGACTCCTCGGCCCGGATGAACCCCAACCCTAAACCCACGGTTTCGGGTTTAGGGTTGAAGCCCCACAGAAGAAAAGCCAAACCGTATGCGTCCAACTTAAACACAGCATCTGGAATGATGGATGCAGCCTTGGATATGCCGGAGGCGACGACACAGAGCGAGATAACGGCGAAGTAGGCTGACAAGTGCCAGGCGTCGTAGTCTGCACGCTCGCAGTTCAGGAACCGACCCACAGCACAACTCCTCTGAGACCTTCCCGAAGTGCCTTTTGGAATTCTGGAACCCAGGCACCAAGCTACTGCCACAGTAGCCAGAAACAACCCATACCAAGCAAAGGACATGGAGAGGTGGCTCTGACTGGCAAAGATCGGGCAGAACTCCTCTTTCGTGAAAGCGTCCTGTACCTGCACCACTTATGTTCTGGGGAAAACTGACAGGTCGAGCTCCCCAAAGCGATACTCAGAATCTAAGGTTTACGAACCCCAAACCCCAAACCCTTATCAGGCTTAGGAATATTTCTACAAAGTAAGAAGGGCATCCTTGACTTTCACCCGGCGACTCGGCGCCCAAATATGCAGGGAGCAGTGGAGTTCGCTGAGTTTGCCTGCGTTGCGTTTCGGCTGCCAACCTGCCAGCGTCGCTGTAGACTTTTGCTGCTGCAGGATTTGGGGTTTTGGGTTTAGGGACCGATATCATATCATCATTGTGGGGTCATCCTCACGTTACGCGTGTATGTATGTACATATAGACATATGTAGGTAGAGAGCGAGAAAGCGGGAGTGATTTATGCTGCAAAAGGTGGGGCGATATGGCAAAACTATAGAAAACTGACATCTCCAATGAAAACTGAAAACTGCCCCCGACCTCCATCTCGTGGTTAAGGACTGGTCCTTCCAACCCGATGCAAAAGGCAAAAGGAAGGAAGATGAGTGGCCGAAGGTTGCGGCGCGACTTGTAGCGAAATGATACGACCCCGTCGCCAGGCAGTTGCCTCCACATCAACTTGTCAAAGGCGTTGCCGGCGAGCTTTGGCGGACACTCAAGTGAAAGGCCAGAGCGGCCGATGCTGGCAGGATCTGCTCCTTCGCCTCCAGGGCCGAGCTCCACACAGCCTGCGTTCGCAGCGCTGTGCCCGGGTCCGGCCATGGCTGCTGCGCTCACCCCGCGGGCTTCTTGAAAGACCCGTTCGGAAGTCGTCGGCAGCTTGCGAACGAAGAAGAAAGGACAGAGACCGAAGTCTTAAACCAGACAGTCTCCTGACCTGACCTGAACCGCAATGGCTGCCAAGTATCCGCGTCAAGTGAAAGCCTCTCAATCGCACCCTCCCTGCTGGCATGCAGACACTGCAGGGACCGCATGTGCTGAGACCACGGAACAGACATGCAAACCCTAGGCCCTCAACCCCTACTGCATGTTCACACTAAACGTCACAGTGCGGTCTGACAAATGATTGCTGACATCTGCTGACATGCTCAACTGGTGCACCTGTCTACCTGCTCGAGGTATGTTCATCAAGAAGAACGTGTTTCCATGTGCTCAAGTTCTACAACATTCTACAACCTCGAGTCCTTAGTCAAGATTTCGACATTCCATGCTAGCATAACGGCTGCCTTTTCATTCAGCGCAAGTCCTGGTGAAACATGGTGAAACCATGCGAAACCAGTCCACTTCCTCAGCCATGGCCCCAGGAGTCATTGCACCTGCCATCCACCCAGGACTTGCATGTTGCAGGCTACCCGGCTACCCTATCACCAAATCATGATGCTGTCAGCAGTCAGGCTTGCACACATCAAGGTTGCTAGCTCATCTGAGCAGGCTGCTGCCTCATCTGTGGCTGCGTGCCGAGCAGACTTGGGAGTCCGCATTGGGCAGTCAGCGAATGCATTGACTGTCCTTCAAAAACACATGTAGGAGAACAGCAGACTCGCGAGGAACTACGTGAAAATCCCTGAGCCCGAGTCCTTGTGGCGTCGAGCTGCAATGCTCCGCCATAGGATCGTTTCCGGCCCGGGGTTCGGCGATGCAACGAAAAACAAATGCCGGTGATGTGCAGCCTGGACCGGAAGGGAAGCTTGCTTGAAGCAGGAAGCCGTGCAGAAATTTGCTCGCAAACTCCAATCTCTTTTCCCTGTCGGGGGAGCTCTCCTCTCGTGTTCTTCTTGAGCCGTGAAGCTTGTGGCAACAAGTCATATCACACGGATGCCAGAAGCTCATCATCCGCACCCGCTGTCGCAAGTTGCATCTTTGGCTGCGCGCATTGGGCACCGACTGCGCCCTCCACATCGACAGTCGACAGTACACCGGAGTTACCGAAAATAAGGAATACCTTTTTGGGGTCCTCATAATAAGGATCCTACTATTTAGGGTATTATATTAGGGCCCCTTATTTTCTGAAACCCACACCGAGGAAAGGAAGCTTGCAGTAAAAATGGCTCCCAGACTGAACTGCATGGATTCAGGACATACAGAGAAAATTCCGCACATCCGGAGGCTTCATTTAGCCCCGACATTGGAACCATTGCAAATTCAGTATCACAACCAACTCCACTTCGCGGAGGGCTGACAAAGATGCAGGTGGGGTTCCGACTAGTGACTACGCGCTCGCCGAGGTGAGACGACAAGGGTCATGGCTCGGAAACGGGCTTCAGCTGCAGCTGTACAGTTTACGTCTCATCGTTCAGTATTGAGACATACCTTTGCAGACTCGAATCGAACGTGCAATGCATTGTAATACTGATATAATAGCAGCCCAGACTTGCAACCGCCGGCACCACGATGGGGAAGATCCATCGCGGGATGTATGGGCATTTTCGGAAACAGTGAACATCCTTCCATATCTTCGCATGGCGGTACAAATCGAAGTCCACATTCTGCAACATGATAACGAGATCAGTGGGGGCGAAGCTGCTGAACACGATCTCATCCACTTCCAGAATGAAAGACACGGCCAAGCAGTTCAAGAGGAGATCTTCTACGGTTGTGAGTCCCACCAACAAGTCAACCCCAAACCAGACCGTAACACAACCAATTAAGACTGCTAAAATGCCAACAACGAAAAGCAAAACGCAGTCAGACTTGGCGTAGCCGACGAACTTTGCCGAGGCCTGCCCTCGATCCATCTGAATCCACGAGGCTGAACCTACACCAAGGGCAGTGCCAGGCAGCAGATAGAAGTGGATCAAGCAACTCCAGAAATCGCGGCAGCCCTGCACGACCAGCAGAAAGATCGCGAGAAACCGAAACACGTGAGTCTCGACTCCATAGACCTTGCCGTCTGCTGCCGGATCTAGCGCTGCGACAGCACTTTGGACTTGCTCTTGTTCCGAGTCGCTGAGAAAGAACTTCATGTGCTCAAAGACCAGTGTCAGAGCGTCGCGAGTGACGCCCTGAAGCTCGTAGCGGCCGAAGTCGGTCTCCCGATTGTCGGCTGTCACATTGAAACCCCCAAGTCCGAGGTACGGTGGCTTGTTCCAGCCCGTGGGGAAAAACAGGCTGTCTGCCTGCCCGATGCCATACATGCATGGATGAGGATCACCCCCAGCATCCGCAAGCATCCGCACTTGCAAAAGCATCTGTAGCAGCCCGAACTGAATCAGGAGACTCATGAAGACCATAGAAAATGAGGTCCGGAAGAGGGATCTGTATTCGAGCTGCCAGCCGCTGCTGCGATACAGGCACCACGTGATCGCTAAGGCGGAGTAGCACGTGTCTATTGGCATGGATTCGACCGCTTCAGTGTGCAGTAGTGTGCTGACCTGGTCTTCCTCGTGCTCATGCTCCAACCTGATCAACGGAACATAGAGCCCGGCATGTGCTCCGTCACTGATCACAACCCACTGCCCATCTTCCTTCCAACCCGTCACGAACTCGCCCTTATGCAACTCATCCAGCGGGCACATCTTTCCATCAAGCAGACGATAGTACTTGGCGAAAGGTTCCGTAATCTTGAAATCCGTCGCGTCCTGGTGCAGAGCGACGGTCAAGAAGCACACAGCAAAGTGAACATGCATCTAGGATGCGTGCAGGGAAGAAGCAGCGCAAGCAGGGAAACAGCTGACTGGTCCCTAAAAACATGTGCAAAGGATTCTCCTCACAACGTTTCACATCTGACCAGCGGAGATACTTGTGAGGAGGATCTCCGGCAAGTTGCAACCAGTCTTCTTGTTGCCAGGACCAAGCCCCTTTCAGGACAGCAGGAACGCATTGCCCTTGAACCCGGTCGTCTTGGTAGAGGCCCCGACTCACTCTGCCGCCCGTTTCATTTTTCATGGTGCGAAGTCGAGTTGTTGCCAATACCTTGAAGCGTCCCTTGTCCTCATCACAAGGTGCCATGACCAGCTTCATGTCCACCTGCACGCGCTACACAAGGCGGAAAGACAAGGAACAACGGAGCAGCCACTGAAATGCAGGACTTAAGGGGCGCATGGGCCTTCAAAGGAAGGAACTTGTCCTCGCCGAGCTGTACCCAATCTCGCCCCCGGCTACCCGTCACGATGTCGCCCGACACTATCTGCCCTTTGCGAGCATAGATCGGTGGGTCGTGGACATTGGCCGAGTGCGGAGAGGACGTGTACTGCACCTCCTCGGCGATGACCTCGTACGTCTTCAGACCTCGTCTTCCACCGAGGCAGCTCATACAGGCTTACATGGCACTCGCACGCTTGACGCGGAAGGCTTGGGGTTCGGACGATGAAGCAGGCAGGTTCTGACATAGGTCCCGTTCGCCAGGCCTAGCCAGTCCTCAGCGGTAAGGTCCTCCTCGTTGAAGATGTGGTAGAGGGTCGCGAGGTTGAAGATAAGTCGGACCACAAAACGACGAGACGTTTGTCTGTCGTCCTTGGCTTCCTTTGCGTCTAGCTCCTTCATCACCGCTGCCTCCCTGAGATCACCCAGTAGACCGTGCTTCTTACACACGCTCAGCAAGGGCTCGGGTCGGATCGTGACAATGGCGCCTTTGGCAAGTTCTCCTTTTTTAACAAGCCCCCGAAGCTCCTCCCCCTGCTGCAGGACTTCTGCCTTCACCTCGTTCGAGGCACACCTCGTTGGATGTGCCAAAGGACGCACCTGGGCACACTCCACTCTGAAGGCGGCGTTCTTCCCGCCCTCCTCCGATCGCAATGTGTCTGCACGGTGCGGTTCAAGTCGGACGTCATGCTTTCCCGAACCTGTCCTGCTGTCTGGAGGCCGCCGCAAACGCCGTCTTCACTGCAGGCTTGTCGGGCCTCAAGAAACCAGGAGCACGCCCCCACTACCCCCACAACCGATACTCTCGATCACAGCTCAGCTAGCCGGCGTCGCCACGTATTTCGTCGCAGCCTCCTTCAAGAACCGCACAGAAGCACAAGCTGGCAGCCGGACTGTCTCGGCAGTCTGACAAATGGCTGTCAGGCATGCTTCTTGGAAGGAAGCCTTGGGGGCACCCCCCCAAAGTTCGCAACGACATGGAATTAAGTCATCAGCGCACACGGTGGGGAGCACTGTCGGTGTAGCTTCAAGGAGCTATCAGCGAAATCTAGCAAAATCTGGCATCCCATCGCGGTGCGGCATGGAACCCTGATGTTCCGTCAACAGCAATGCCAAACTTCTGCGTGCCGCCTCTGCATCGAACCAAGACTCGTCAGCCACCTGCCAGGGAATGGTAAACCCCGATGTGCGCCAACTTTTCTGCGCGGTTCTGCGGCCTGCCTTGGAGGACATGCTTCGGACGAGTCCCGCCTCGATCGCCGGCAGATCTAGAATCTGCCGTGACCCAACCCTAATTTGACTGAAACCCTAAACCCTAAACCCTAAACCCTAAACCCTAAACCCTAAACCCTAAACTCTTTCGAGAAGGCTCTCGACTCCCACCCTGCTTCGTTGAACCACGCGCTAAACTAAACCCCGGTATTGCAAAAACCAAACTTGGGGTTTAGGGTTTAGGGTTTAGGGTTTAGGGAAACACCCTTGGAGCTGGAAGCGAAAGCTCCACTCTGAGCTACATTGTGAACCTGAGCTCTCTCGCAGTCTTTGCCGCCCTTGCCTTCTCCTGGGGTCCCGGCAGATCGGCTGACCGGTGACGGGATTTGATCGGGACGAGGGAGGCCAAACTGAACCCTTGGGCCACAGAAAAGTTCCCATATAGTTTACCCAAACATAGTCATAGTCATACCACCATTCTCATAAGGAGATTGGCCCGAACATTCTGCTCCCAGAGGTTCTGCACATGCAAGTGAACCTGCACTGACTGCAAGACTTGAAAGACACACAATCATCTCGCTTACCTGTGAAAAGCTTGCATCTGTTTTGGAATGCTGCCAGATTCACGCTGCTATGCAGAAACAACAAGAGCGGTAAACGCCCACCAGGAAGCCAGACATGCGCCAATCAGACAAATTGGTTGTATGCTTGACCCAAAGATGTCTTCTCACAAAACTTGTGGTGATTCTAGTTCGCTGGTCTTGGGGTTGCAAACAGCTTTGCTGTTTTGAATTTGTTCGCGTGCTTGAAAACAGACTATCTGTCAACCGGTACCCGCATCAATCCCAAAACTTCGAACCTGGGCGAAAACTCTACAGATGGGTTGGAAGCTCGGATATTTCGCTGACTAGCTTGCCTTGTGAGCAGCTTTGCATGCACAGCGAAAGACAAGGTAGCACGTGATCAGGGGCCATGAACTTGTGCCCATGCAACTTGACTCGGGCAGAACATGTGTGGGGTAACCCAAAAAGAGAAAAAGCCGAATCCCTGGACAGCGCGGCCGGTTTGGGACCTCTGCGCGCCTCCCCACAGCACAGCATCGGGTTTCAAGATGCGAAATGTGAAAAACTAAACGTTGCTGGTGGGCTCACACATCCATCCGCGAGAACATGTATCAGCCCGGTGTTTGGGGCATGCTCGCAATGTGAACGGATGTTAGTACCCTTCCCCCACCCCGCCACCAACCCCGCCAAACAGCCCGTTCCTTTCGAATCACACTAAAGTCGCCAAAGTAACACAAACACAGGGCACACGAACACGTGCCACCGTGCAAAAAGCTGCAGCATGCATGCAATGAAACATGCTCGGCCCACATTGCAATTTCACTGGATGCAACGTCGGCAAGACGCACAGCGAGTGTGACGCCGTAATGCACAGCGTCCACAGCAAAACTAACGAATAGAGGCACTTGCGGCAAATTTTCCAAGTGCACTAGCTTTCTTGTTTCATGTTGTTTCAGCCCTCCCCAGTTGAAAAACTAAACTGCATGTTTCAAAAGCTTCGCATTCGCTAGCAAAAGAAGGACTGGCATTAGGATTGCCAGTGGTCGATGCACGGTGCTTCTGCGACTCTGGAGTGTGTACACCGATATACCGTGATGCAGCACAGCTCGGAAGTGCTTGCTACAAACAACACATCGGAATTCTTGTTAGGTGGAACTCACACATACACAGAGAACCGGCTTGCTCTTTTGTCTTTATGTGTTCATAACGATTCGAATATATCTGTCTTGAATCATGAAAACCGAAACGATGAGTCGGAACGTCGGATTCTCCTTTTATCGCAAGCAATCAAGGGTTCGCCACAGCGGACTCATTCAGATTTTTCACATCTGCGGTTTAGAATTTCCACACTATCCGGGTTACCGTTGAGCGCAATTGCCCAGATGTGCATGATACCGATAACCCCTTTTAAAAAAGACTGGTACGCCATGGCGGCGTGTGTTTGCGAGGAATCCAGCGATTTTTCTCGAGCTTTTCACATGTGTCATTATATTAATATGACTTGAGTTGAAAGAATACACGCCGCCACAACGGTTAAACTTACTCCAAACCAGAACAACGGAGCTGACGCCCGAGCAAGGACCACTCTGAGACAACTCTTTTGCTTTGGCCGACGCACGCCAAAAGAAACAAGGACAAGAACAAGGAGAAAGGAAAAATGGAAGAAAGGAGGCAAGGACAAGAGAAAAGATGGAGCAGTGAAGAAAAAGGAAACTTCGGGAACAAGGACAACAAAGACAACAAAAAGAGAAGAAAGTGTGCTTGAAGAACGTCAAGGCTTGCTAGCTTTCCCACAAGCTTCCGAGTCTTTCCCAACAAGCTCCCAAGCTTTGACAAGCTTTGGAGCAGCTCTCCAAATTCCGTTGTGTTTCCAGGCTTTCAGCGTGCGTTCTGCTTTAGCCTTAGCTTGGTTTGAAAAAAAAGAGGACGCTGGAAGCTCTCTCGTGATCAAAATTTACAGTAAGAAGAGACCAAGTCAACTGCAGTGCTTTCGTGCGAGTCTCTGCTACTTGCGGCTCCATCTGCTCTTCTTGTTGCGGTCCAGAATCCACGCTGCCACTTTTGCTGTGGATTTACTGGAAAGGCCCGTTATGGTGCACACGTTTCGGAGGGTTTTTGGGCCCTGAACATGAGCTCCATGAAATCTGTCAAAACGAAAATCGAAACAAGGTCTTCCTAGGCTTCCTTAATCCGCACAAAACCGCTAAATCCAAACACAGACCGTCACGGAAATGACAGACAGAACAACTTCATCCTGAAAGAAGCAATGCACAAAGCACGTAAAAAATCCGGTGCGTTTTTTTTCAGATTCTTCCAATTGCTTTGGACAAGCAACTTTCTAAGGAAATACATGGCATTGTGTAGAAACGGTGCTTGTAAAAAATTAAAATTTCAAAAACTTCTTTTGGCGCCAACGCGTCCTTGTTCACAATTGTAGAAATGAAGTCGCAAACCCAAATGGACCCATTTGAAGGTTCATGGAGCTGAGAAGCAAATTCTGAACCTCCCACCTTCAAACGCATGCAATATGGATTGCCATGAATGGATCTTCTCCACAACTGGTTTCTACAGCAAGAATTTAACAACATGCAAGAAGTTTCAACTTGATTGATAAGTTCAAAACAAGTCGGGTTACTCTGGAGGCCTCCCTCCATCCGCAAAAAACTACTAAACCTAACACACAACGTCAAACGCAGGGATTCTAGCTGCTTTTGTGGATTTTGACAGACAGAACAACTTTCTGAAAATCCACATGCTAACAGTACAGTAAACACACCACCAAATCCTTCCAGCAGCAATGAGCCAAGTCAGAGCACGTAGGAGACGATAGCACTGGTAAGAGTTTCAGTTTTGGTACTAAAACACATCACCGGCAATAAACGTGCTGCTAGCATCGTTACGACCAGATCCAAGCACTCTCTGAACTCTAACAAAAACAACACAATACAACATAACACTGGAAAACCGTTTTCGGTGTCTGATGACTTGAGCACGCAGCTTACTTTCTGATCATTGAAGACTTCTAGTGTTGTTTTCTGGTTGGCGTAAGGCAGATTTTGGTACCTAACTCCGTATGTTCAGCAGTTTTGGTACCTGGACTCTAGATTTTGGATCTCCGTATGTTCAGCAGATTTTGGTACCTGGACCCTGGACTGCATGTTCAGCAGACTTTGGTGCCTGGATCCCCGTATGTTTAGCAGATTTTGGGACGGACCCCCGCATGTTCCGCAGATTTTGGTCCTAGACCCGCATGCTCAGCAGATTTTGGTACCTGACCTCCGTATGTTCAGCAGATTTTGGCACCTGGACCCCGTATGTTCAGCGATTTTGGCACCTGGACCCCGTATGTTCGGCAGATTTTGGTACCTGACCCGTATTTTCAACACCAGCCCAGCCCCACTCCCAGCCTTAGCCCCAGCCCCAGCCCCAGCCCCAGCCCCAGCCACAGCCCCAGCATGCCCCATCCCCAGCCCCAGCCTGACCCGCCGCTTTGTTACGTGAACTTTTGTGCCAAATCTGACTCGCCACTTTGTTACGTGAACTTTTGGACCAAATCTCACGCACCACTTTGTTACGTGAACTTTTGGGCCACATCTGACCCGCAGTCACGGCCAACCCTTCGTCCCACCCACTTTATGAAGAGAGTGGGTTTTGTCAGGAATACAAGAGACACGAAGATAAGAGAACAAACGCAATCCTTTCTGGCTCTATACAGCGCCAACTTCAGGCTGAGTGTGGCTGTCAAGAAATAAGAAATGGCCTGGAGTTCGGCCAATTGGACCAAAAAGGAATTGTTCAAGTGTTGTTTTTCTGGTTGCGTTCGGCATCGCCGAAGCACCTGATCTGATGTGTCTCAAACCGTGCACATGTTTTCGAGAGGTTTTGCGGCTTTAAAGTCAAATCTGTCAAAAAAATAAGAGGTAGAAACAATTACTCTCTCCATCTGCCAGGATAACGTCACCTGCTGCCAGCACCAAATCCATCCAGCAGCGATAAGCAAGCTGGAGAGACCCAAATTGGCAACAAAACAAATCACCATAACAGACAAGCAGCGCTTTCTTTTCTGATCATTAAGACGCTTTGTAACAGTTGCCACTTTTGACCAGCGATTCTGCTCATTGGCCAAAAACAAAAAAACAACACAACGTCCAGCACTTTATTGGAGTCCCTTTTCGAAAGTTCGGATTGCGTTTGCAAGCCATGCTGAGAGCCAATGCAGTCTCGAAGTGCTTATCGGGTTTAGAAGTTTGGGGTTAAGGGTTTTGGGCTCTCCTTGTCTTTGGCGTGTAGCACTTGACACGACGCCTGGCGTGCAGCCGTACACAAGGTATTTCGGGTGACGCGATGGCTTGTGTGTATATATTTATGTTTATATCTATATCTATATCTA